CTTCCTAGAAATCTCATTGTGTTAACTAGGAGCCTACTGCGTTCTGTTTAGAACCCATAATCACATTTTTATGTGTCTGTATTATGCGTTAATGTGACCTCCTGTCTTTAGCAGATTAAAAAAAATGTTCTCTTTCCACAACATCTGCATGGAGCTCGGGCCCACACAGCACACACGGAAGCCCAGGCTGGCCCAGGGTTCTGTAAATTTACCAACTTTCTTCGGAGCAGGAAAAGCAAATGTGAAGGGAAAAGTGCCTACCAAATGAATAATTACACACCAAATTAAAACCCTGCATTAAATATAGTCGACAGCAAAGACTGCGTTCTCAATCATGTTTATTGCTTACAAATTGCATTACAAAGAAATCTACTCTTTTTATTGGAGTGATTAAGCCCAGAGTGTCAGGACTGCAGAAATGCCATTCTGGAAGATTAGATGAAAGCCACAAGCTGGCTGAGCTGCCTTGCAATGGCAAACGTATAATTTTGTTAAAGAACGGTTTAACGCGGAGCTGAGGGCTGGGTTGTCATTATGGCGCCGTAAAAGAGTCAACTGAAAATTATATTTATTTATAAACGCGTTGTCTATAAAATGCACGTATTTAATACGAAAGGAAGCAAGCAATTCCATAATCAATATTTTAATTACTGAATTTTTAGAAACTGTGGCAGCACAGTTCTATAGGATACTTTGCAAGCCCGCAGCTTGCCTGTGCATCCTGGGAACTGGGAAAACCTTCCTGACTTCCTCCTCTCCTTTCTGGACAGGAGGCTGCGGGGCTAGGAGGCAGCGTTTGCTTATGGCGCCACCTGCAGGGCTCCAGGGGAAGGAGCTTCCACTCCTCGGCCGTGTCCGCAGGCCTCTCTGCGTTCCCGCCACAGGCTTTTTTCAAACGCAGCGAAATTCATTTCTGTTCCAACACTGGACAACGTTAATCCCAAAACAAGTCCAGGAGTTTGGAAAGCAGTTTGACGTTGCCGAACTGTGCCACAATCCCAGCAATCAGGTGCACAGTGGTCACAGCTGCAGCCTTGGGCTTCGAAAAATCCCGGCTGCACATAGAAAATTCGAGGAAAGGAATGACTTGTCCTTGAAATAAGGGAATCGGAGATGCGATGACCTGGGCCTGTCACTGCGCCCTGGGGCAGCCTGCAGAGACCTCCGAATGGCGCCAATGAAGTGTGCCCGCCGCTCGCTCAGGCCTGGCGGTCTCTGCCCAGCCCAGCCGGCCGCAGAGGGCTGAGTGTTCCCCGCTGACTTCAGCCCCGGGCCACCAAGCGCTGAGGGTTATTTCAGAGACCGGAAACCGGAATGATTATACACTCACCGAGGTGAGCAAGTCCTCCTCGGACCAAGAGAGTCGGCGCCTCTGATTTCCTTCCGCATGTGCTGAACAGCTGATTACCAAGTAACCTGGAAGTTAAACTGACACAAATACACCTAGAAGACAGGCCCAGGACCGCACCCGAAATTTTAAGCCTCACACGCACCACAGCATCCAGCCCGTGCACTAGTTGCCCGTGGGCTGTGAACCGTGCCTAGGGGTCCAGTTAGGGTCTTTCATCCCGTCCTGGGGGTGGGACACCAGCAGAACCCCCTTCCCTAGGGCAGTCGCTGGTGGAAAATCTTGCTTATGTAATTTGCATTCTCTGCTGTCAGTTGATAATAATCACCAGAGATGCTTGATATACCAGGCGTGGTAGCGCACACCTATGATCCCAGCGCTTCTTCCCTATTCTTCCCTCTCCTCCTCCTCTTTCTTTCCTGTCTATGTGGATTTATGTAATTCTCTGCATTTTAGAACTTCTCAACACACGGAGCATGGAGTATCGCTGGACGCAGTCATCAAAACAGTTTCTCGTCAGTTATTTACTTATTTACTTTTTTGGTACCGGAGATCGAACTCGGGTCTTTGCGCTTGCGTAGCAGGCAGTGAAACCACTGAGCTAAATCCCTGGCCCTCTTGTCAGTTATTTTATTTCTCACTACACGAAGCAGGTCATCGGTGGTAACTACAGTCCGCTGAACTATGAGTGGGTGGTTCAGCCTCACCTGTCAGCCACAGGCCAGGGTCACAACCCGGGAACAGACTGAGTGCCCCTGACAGCTAGGAGCCAGGAGACTCAGAGCCATGTCCCAAGGCGGACTCATCCCCTGGTCACTTTCTTGCAGTGTGACACTGTGGTCCTGAAGGGCGGCCAGGGTGAAGGACTCTGCCTCGTCAGGAGGGTCCACGGCACGTTACCATTGCATGTTGGCAGAGGACGGACACCACGTCACGTATGGTGTGGTGCAGGGACACAGAGGTCACATGACTGACTGTCTGTAGGACAACGTGATCAGAAAGGTGACTGAGGAGCCACGAGTGAGCAACAGCCACTCGTGTGGGATACAACAGCCACAGCAGGCCTCATGTACAACCTTGCTCCCTGCATGCTCACATTCTGCAGCAGCCTGAGGACACGCTGTCCCATCTCACTTGGCCGTGAGCTCTCAGGACGGATGCTGGATGACTGGGGCCCCAGTCCCAGCCGACTCTCAGGAAGGGTCAGTTAGATGGATGAACAAATGTCTAAACAGGAAACTCCAAGCCTTGGAGAGGACATGGAGAAATGGGAACCCTTGCACTCGCTGGTAGTAGGGATGGGAATGGCACAGCAGTTATGGAAAGGTACAGAGAGTTCTCAACAAAGTGAAACTAGAAATACCGTGGGACCCTGCAACCCCACTGTTGGGTGCAGCCAAAGGAGCTGGAAGCAAGATCTTGGAGAGATATTGGCACAGCCACTGATGTATTCCGCTGCCTGTTGGTATAACAAGATACTCCAGGTTGAGTACTTTATAAAGAAGAGAGGTTTATTGAGGTCACAGTTTGGAAGCTGCAGCTCCAATCTGGGCATCCCTATCAGTTCAGGTCTCTCAAGGGCTCCCTCAGGCTATGTCACAACATAGCAGGGGCCATCACGGAGGGGTTGAATGCAGAAGAAACCACATTGCAAGGCTGGAAGCCCAGAAATCTAGGGGCCGGCTCACTCCTGTACAAGAACCCACTCTCACTGCGACTCACCAGGGCTCCCAGAGACCCGCACTAGTGCCTTCCAAGGACGTCACCCGGCCTAAAGCTTCCGGCACCTCAGATTCCCATTTCTAGGCCTTGGGGAGGACTGGGCTCCTTAAGTGTAGCAAAGGCTGTATTTTCTTACTGTTTTTACCACTGTTACTTGTTCTTAGAAATAACTTTGCTACTCTTTCCCACTTTTTATACTCTTTCCCCAATACTGGGATATTTACTTCTAATAACAAAACAAGCTGAATATGACAAGGGATCATTTATGGAATTCCTTTTCCGGGCTGGATTCTGGGCCTTGGCTCTGGAGTCTTTCCACACAGTGCAGGGTGACACCTCACACCAGGGCAGGGTGACATCCAAGGTCACGAGGCCCTGGAGTGAAACATCCAAGTGTGCAACCTGCAGAATCTGGGGTCCCCCAGCCCTGATTGCCAGGGTCTGAATCCACATTTCAACCAGACCCCTTTGGAGCTAGAAAAGACTGACTTACGGGAGTCACCCTGCGGGTCCCGAACCTCAGGACAGAGGTGTTCATACTCTCACTTTCCAGGTGTCTTAGTTACTTTCCCTTGTTGCTGAGACAAAATATCTGACTGGACTTAAAGGTTTCTTTGGCTTACAGTTCGTGGAGGTTTCAGTCCATAGTCTGCTGGCTCCAAGGCAAGTGGCAGAGGGGCAACAGTTCATGGGGGCAGAAGACAGCAAAACAACAAGGGACCTAAACAGTGTCTTTCTGCCCCTTTTATCTTATTCAGACTACTTAGGGTGGGCAGCACGCACACCCTTGATCTAGTCCCCTTGGGCCTAGCATTGCACCATGAATCAATCACACTATAGATTCCACCGTCTCTGAAAAAGCATGAGGCTTTAGGAGACATCTAGACACAGCTGTAACACCAGGTAAGCAAATGGTGGGTCATTTCACTTGGGCAGCTGTGGTTGTTGCTCTGTGGAGGAGCCTGGCTCTGAATCCATCTCCTGGCTGTTACCCTGGGCTGCCACTCACCATCCAGTGTACTGCATTGTCTTTCAGGACAAAGCAATCTTCTGAGGTCCCCGGTAACCACAAATGCTCCCCTTCTCTCTGCTGCTCATGGCTTTCCAGTGACATTCAGAATCCTTAGTTTGGAGGCCAAAGCCCTTTTGATCTGTCCTTGATCCTGTCCAGCCCTGCCTCCTCCCAGCTTGTCAGAGTATGGGGTGGGGAAGGGACCTGCACTTCTGGGAGGATAAAAACTTGTCCCTCCACTGTGCCCTGCATTTTCTGGCATCCCTGTTCTTACTCAAGTTTTCCTTTGGATACACTGGTGACTCCTGGGAGTCCATGTGGGAGGGGAGTGGGGACAGCCATCTGCCTGCCACGGGGGTTTGAAGGGGTATGAAGCTGCATTTGCACTTGTGTTTCTGTAGAACAGGTCAATTTTCTGTCTCAGAGGGTGGGATGGGGATGGATCTTCTGTAGCAGCTGGAAGATGCTGCCCCATCCTCCCTTGGCAGTTTACCTACCAAGGCTCAGCCTGGCCACCTCCTTCATGACGGTCACCCTCCGTGTGTGGGCCCTGCCTGGTGGGCTTCACTTCCACAGTAGGCTTCACTCATGGTGTACACCCATCCCATCTTATGCAGTAGCTATTCACAAACTCCCTTTCCAGTCTGTGATAATGGGTGGACGGACACCTCCTCACCGGCCAGGTTCATCCTTGTTCTGGCTCTAACTGGAAAGAAAGAAACCAGCACTTATCCTTGGAAGATGACCATAAAGAGTCCTCGCTTTAAATTTCATACTGGGCTGGGGTGTAGCTCAGTAGTAGAGCACCTGCCTCACAGGTGTGAGGCCATGGGTTCAATCCCTAGCACTGCCAAAGTGCCTTGAAAGAAAATTTCAGGTATAGTAAAGTCAACAGATCAGGAGATGCGCTTCACTGAGCAGACTGTTTATTATTCACTGTTTTCAGAAACAGGGGGCTCAACATGCCTGGGGGTCACACAGGGAAGCACCAGGGTTGTTCAGGAGGAGGTGGGGAAGAGTGCAAAGGCAGGGCAGGCAGGCGTAGGGTTGGCTGGTCTGCATACTGTCTGGCTCTGGGGCAAAGGAGTTGTCTAGCACCTGGCCTGGAGAGATCAGGGAAGGAGGGTAGCTATTGAGTCAGACAGCCGAGTACAGGGGTGGCTAAGTGTGGGCTCTGCACTGGTGGGTTTGCTCCGGTGAGCTGGTTATTGCTTCTAGGGACTGGCTGGTCTGGGACGAGCTGTCCCTCAGGGCCAGCAAGGCCCCAGATATCAAAGTATCAGCACAGAGAAGACAAAGTGAACTCTGCCCTGGATGTGAGGGGATTTCTCTTACTGTGTGGTGCTCAGGGTGAGCCCAGGCATCCTCATTAACCCTCCGCACTCCTGGCACCTGCCTCAAAGGGCTGTTCTCTGGAATGGGGTCGGGGGGGGGATTGGATGAGTGTATTAGTCAGTTTCCCATCATTGGGGCACCATACCGAACACCTGCAACTTAAAGGAGGAGAGAGTTAATCTGGCTCACAGTATCAGGGGATTCAGTCCAAGGCAGGAACATCATGGTGGAAAGTCCTGCAGGAACTCAGCCACATAGTTCATGGTGGCTGGAGGCAGAGCTGGGAAATCATGCGTGAGAGGAAGGGACCTGGGAACATAAACGGTACCTCCATGACCCGCCCAGACACACTGAGGAGTGTGCTTTGCTAATATGCCAGGTGGTTCTTAGTCCAGCCAGGCTGACACATTAGAAGAACAGTCACGGTGAGGATGTCAGAAAGTCTGGCTCGGCATCCGTTTGGTGTGCTGGCCGGAGGGTGGGAGTGTCCTGTGATTACAGGCCCCATGGGCCCTGGCAAGTCTGCCCCTCCTGGAAGCAGAGGTCCTTGCTCAGCACGAGGTTCTGGTAGTCCTGGGCACAGACCCTCTCTGGGTGGCCAAGCTCCAGAAGGGTGGGTGTCCTTTCCTGTGAGCTGACGGGTGGTCCAGAGTCCAGAGGGCAGCACACGTGCTGCTAAGCCACCTCGGGAGAACTGTGTGTCTTAGCTGGACTTTCACTGCTGCCAGCACAGGCAGTGTCACAGTCACAAATTCACACGATCCTCACATGTGAGCCTGAGAGCAGAGAGGAGTTTGATCACCAGTCCCATTTCAAGGTGAGTCCGAGGCTTCTGCCTGGCACACAGTCAGCAGGGGAGGCAGGATGCCCGTACAGCTGTGCCCCTCTTGGCCAGGCGCTGTCCTCCACACGCGACAGGAGGGCAAGAGCTTGGTGGCACAAGGTGCTCTGGTTCTCAGTGCAAAACACCCTCTGGCTCCAACAGCAGGTAGTTTTGCAAGGGCTTGGGCAGGGGTAGCAGGGGCACGAGGTGCAAGCACTTTCTGCCAAAGAGTTTTCGGAGGGTGCAGCGGCAGAGGTGCTGCAGGCAGCGAGGGGTGTGGGCCAGGGCGAAGAGAGACTGGTAGAAAGGCTGGTGCATCTGGAAAGGAAGGATTGTAACTCAGGTCACGGAACCACAAGGGGCTCTTCCTAGCCAGGCTGCTGATGGGACAGGTCGTCCTTCTGCCGCTCACTGATACCAGGCAGCCACCATGGAGTGACAGGGATGCTGCCTGTGTAGGGTTTGTGCTCCTTTCTGCAGCACAGCTCACCAAGTCAGGGAGACTCAGGCTGGACCCGAGTCCAGGGGTGACTGTTAACTGGAAGCTGCCTGCTGGGCCCTTCCCTTTGTCCAGAAGTGGCACAGGAGCCCGGGCCTCAGCGCTCAGCTGCGTGCACTGATGCAGGCCAGGGGTGTTCAGAGACAGGGTCTTGCTATGTAGCCCAGGCTGGCCTTGAACTCTCAGCAATCCTCCTACCTCAGCCTCCTGAGAGCTGAGATCACAGGCATGTGCCACCTGCCCAGGTCGATCTCGCTCTGTGGTCACCTGTGGTTTTGTATGCACGTAATGCCCGCTGCTGTGTGGCCATATCTGAGCCGTCAGCAGATGATGCCCACACACAAGGCCACACTGGTGCATCCAGCAAAGGAGCCGGAGTCTGTGTGTCAGGGCAGCTGCAAGGCTTCCCTCCTCGGGTCAGGTTGCCTGAGTCCTGACACTCCTCGTAATTTAGGGAATAATGACAAGGAAGAAAGGTCTGTCTGTGTTCAGTGCACACGCCATTTCCCCCAGTATTTCTGATCTATGGATGGTGTGATCCACGGATGCATGATCCATGGATGCCGGGGGCTAACAGTTCGGAAACTCACTCCTGAGTGTGTGATGCCTGAGCCCCGGGGGAAATGGAAACAGATGCAAATACATCCCCAGCTTCCCCCGCTCCTTCCTTCTCCAGATGTTTTATAGCTCCTGGATATCAGTGCAAAACTCCACACTGAAAAGCCAAGGAGACCAAGCTTGCACCAGAGAGGAAATCGAGGCAGGTCCGTACCTGATAGACTTCTTCAGGGATCACCTCCTTCCAGGCCTCAGACACATGCAGCTGAGTGTAGGAGTTGAAAAGGACCTCAATGACAGCAGGGACCTGAGCACAAGTCCTCAGCACCTGGTGGGAAGAGAGGGAGACCTGCTGTAGGGTGACAGGGTGGAACAAGGGTGGAGGATGAGGGATGTGTCTGGATTCCATGTCCACCCCTCACCCTGGCTGGGTCATCTCTGTCCCCAGGTCATCAAGGGAGAGCAAAGGTTTCAGCAGAGCAGGGTTGCTTCAGGGGTAGTGACAGATCTACAGACAAACACAAGGCTGCAGCTCTGCCAGGGCCTCGCACCCTCAGGCCAGTGCCTGGGGGACAGCTGGGCATGGGCCGAAGCCATCAGGTGCCCAGGAGCTGCTGCTGGCTCAGCAGGCTCTGGCTTCCTTCAGCAGAGCCACTCGGAGAAAAGGAAGACAGTTCCGCTGGAAGCCCAGGACCAGGATGATCTCCCAAATTTGTACCTCAATTCTCTAATGTCGGGAAAGTGAGGACAGCAGTGGGGTGAGGTGGGGAGATTTGTCTTGGTGTTGAGTTTCCTCTTGGCTTGGCTCTTCCATTTTATTCCCACAGCCCCCACCCCCACCCTGGCAAAGGTTCCTATTTTCTTATTTGCAAATTTATAAATTAAGTCCATCAGCTTCATCATAAAGATGGAAACACTATTTGCTTTCAAAAAATAAGGTTTTACATCATGGGGCAATTTGAACATATACAAAAGTGGATCAAACATGATAAACTCCCACGCACTCACCATCCACCCAGGGTCAATCCTGCCCCACCCACTTCCCCACTTCAAGCAGATCCCGTGTGTTACGGCTTATATCACGATATCACCCCAAAGCCTCATGAGGTCATAGGTGGGGGGTTTTTGGAGGTGGCTGGATCTAGGGTGTGTGGCACTGGATTCGTCCACTAATTGGTTTATCATAGTTCTGGGTGTGGATAATGGGAAGGCCCACTGTGGGTGTGGGTGGCACTACCTGAAAGGCTCATGGCCTTGTTGGCATAAAAGGGAAAGGGAGGCTTGTTGCTGTTGGTTGACGCCCTGCCATGGACTGTTTCTCCTCTTCGATGCCCGTCTCCCATACTGCCCTGCCTTGAACCAGCTGACTACGAACTGAAACCTCTACAAACTGTGAGCCAAAATTAACCTCTCCTTCTTTAACTTGTCAGGTATCTTGTCTCAGCAATGTGAAAATAACTAAGACATGATGTATCCTATCATTCATTTGTAATTCTTTCAGTGTGTCTCTTTAAAGGCCTTTTAGAAGAAGCATAAGCGTGATTACTTATTATAACACCTAAGAAATTAACAATCACTTAATGTCATTTATATTTAGTCAGCATTTATATTCACAGATTTCTCTTCAATGCCATTATATTAACAAAATAATTTGTTTGCTGTGTTGTCAGGTTGCACATTTAGGTCTTTTTCTTGCTTCATGGGTTGATTCGCAGCAGACAGTGGGCTCACTGTCCTGTGGGCTCACAGTGGGGTTCTGCTGATTGTTTGCCTGTGGGGTTCGGGAACCTGCTGCTCCTCCTCTGTCTCCTGCAAATTGGTCATTGGATTTAGCAGCTTGACAAAATTCAGATTTGATCTTGGAGAGGGGCCAGGCCTCTTCATAGTTCCTTTTTTGAGGTGTAAGGTTTACCAAATGTTGCGAGATGGCTCTTCCTCTTTCTCGAGTGAGAAAGCTGAGGTTATGTGGCTTTTCTGAGGCCAGGCACCGTGTATGGACAGACAACGACCAGAGCCATAGCTACACTGGGTCTGCATCTGTGCTGGGCATCCCCAAGTCTGCCAAGGTAGCGGGAAGCACTACTTAGGGCTGCTCTCCTCGAATCTTCACAACTGTACATCTAAGACCCCTTTGAAACACAAAGCGTCAGAAGAAAGAAAACACTCATAGTTCTTTGTTCAGATATAGCTACTATTAACCTGTTGTGTATGCTAATGTTTGTGGATTTACACAAAAATAATATATACATGGGTGGTTCTAACTAAGAAAGGTCCTACTTAAATGATTTTTTGCTTCACAACAGTGAGAAAGCAGTGTCTATTGGGCAGGAGCCATACTTGAATTCTGCATCTGGATCCCTCCCTGGGCTGCTGGTAGGGAGTCCCTTCCCAGGCTCCCAGGCAGCTCCAAGGTCATGAGGAGACACAGCGGCACCTTACAGTGTGCTGTGTTGTTAAGTGCAGGGGCTCAGTAGGGTTTGGGGCATTCAGTGCATCCTTGACATATAATCTTTTCAACTTAGGATGACTGTATGGGGATGTACTCCCCATTGTAAGTTGAGGTGCATTTGTTTGTATAACAAAAGGATGGCTGCTTTGCATATCATTTTGAAACTTGATTTTTTTCCACTTAAAATGGATTGTGGACAGCTGGGCATGGTGGTGCATGCTTGTAATCCCAGCACTCAGGAGGCTGAGGCAGGAGGATTGACAAACCCTGTCTCCAAAAAAAAAGATGAACAATTCAAACAGTATAAATGACCACTTCAGTATAATTTTTGTGACCCATATGTTTTATTTTTTGAATTTATCATAATTAACTATGAACTTGTCTTAATAGTCCTGATATAATAATGAATATCCTTCAATATCCTTCTACCTGTTCTATCTTCTTCTGTCCCAACTCTTATTTTGTTTGTTTGGTACTGCGGATCAAACTCTGGGCCTCTGTACTGAGCTAATTCTCAGCTGTTTAAAAAATTTTTGAGGCAGGGTCTCCCTAAGTTGCTAAGCTGCCCAGGCTGGGCTCAAACTTGTGATCCTCCTGTCTCAGCCTCCTAGAGTTCTGGGATAATAGGTGTGCACCACTACACCTGGCTTTTATCTTAAAACACTTAAATTCAGTTCCTAGAAGTAGAACTGCAGTGTTAAATGACACATAGATTGTAAAGCCTTTAAAGCACACTGCCAAACTGATGTGCTAAATTGGTCCAGTGTTTGAAGAACTGGATACCAGAGCTCTGCTCCCCCCACAAAGTGTCTGAGCACTTACATCTGATAGATGCAGCAGGGGTTATTTACTTTTGTTTTGGGGAGCCACTTGTCTTTCTTCTTTTATGAGTTGCTAAATAACATCTTTTGCTCATTTTTTTACTGGTGTGTTCATTTTTTCACTGATTTGTAAGTACACTTTATTTTCTAGCTATGTAAACATTTTTGCAAATAGTGGTACTTTTTCTTCCTTGATATTAATATTTCTTATTCATCTTTCTATTATACTGTCTTATTAGAGCTTTTTATATTCAGTGTTAACCAACAACAATGGTAGCATATCTTATTTCTAATTTTAATAGGATCATCTCTAATGTTTCATCATAACCATGATCTTGGATATTAGTTTCAGATAAATACCATGTTCTGAGCTCAGGAAATACCTTTCTAGTGCTTAATACTACAAAGTTTGAGATTTAATTCTTTCTTTTTACATTTAGTATTATTATTTTTTTGGTACTGGGGATTGAACTCGGGACCTTGTACTTGAGAGGCAAGTGCCAGAACCACTGAGCTAAATCCCTGGCCCTACGTTTATTTTTCTGTGGTATATATTATTAGTTTGATCAGTAAATATTTAGTACATGACTTTTTACATTTATTGAAAAGATTTCCCAATATTGACCCATTTTTGGATTTGTAAAACAGATCCTCTTTGGCTGTTCTTCTCTACATTATACATCAAATAGATTATATATCACAGGTATTTACATACTATACAACTATATATAAATATAGACTTTATTGGCTAAATTGATAATCATTACCCTGGTGACCCCTTGTTTCAATTTTTTATTGAACTGAACATCAAAGTGCAGATACTGAGCAGGGACAGACACATTTCTGCAAGATGACCGAGATCAAAAGGGACCAGAAAATAAGTCTGTAATACATTTTCTAATAAATCAATAGTGTAGGGGCTTTTTACCTCATTGTTAACCACACTGTTTTCAATCTTTTAAAATTTTAAACTCAAATGCTGCATGAACATTCACCTCGTGGTTGAGATCATTAGGGTCAGCTTGAGTCTCTATTGGAACACACATGGGTGCTTCAAATGCCTCTCCCCAGGCTGCCTCCTGTTGTAATACCCTGTGGTAATGGGTAACAGCGGTGTTAGATTGTAACAGCTGTGGTGAGGGTGGGCCTTAGCAATGCAGGCGGAGAGGGAGGAAGTTTAGCCTCTTCCAGGAGAGGAGCCCTGGGATTTGCCTGTGATGATGTCATATTCCCTGAGAAGGGTGAGTCCACTGTGTGAGAAACAGCAGGTTTGGGATAGCTTGAGGGGCTCCTGGGCTTGATTTTAAGGGCCCTAAAATAGAGCACAGAAGCCTCCAGGTTGTAAAGGTTTGTGGGGAGAGAGCTTCTCCTCTCTGTTGAGCTATCTGAAGGTTATTTTCAGCATGCTCCCAAAGTTCCATGTCCAAGGTTCCCACCTGCAGAAACCAAAGATTATACTTAACTAAGCATTTTTTGGATACTATTGGCTGACACTGTGTAGTTTGCTTAAGAAGGGTGTGGAAGGGTCAGGGATTTAGCTCAGTCAGTGGCACCACACCTGTTTTGAAAGCACAAGGTCCTGAGTTCAAACCCTGGTACAAAAAAAAAAAAAAAGGGGTGTGGAACAACTGGATATAATGTTGCTCTTTAGCTGAAAGTGACTGCCCCTGTTTCAATCCCAGCTGATTTCCTACTTCCATTGGATGCATTTACTTTGCTTCCTTTTTGGATATCCCTAACTCATCATGTAAGGGCCAAGCGCTGTCTATACACCACATCCACCGTGAGTGGCCTTCACTGAGCAGGCGGTACCTTGGGGGTTCCAGTCCCACATTGGGCACCAAAGACCCTTGTGGTGGGTCCTGATCTCCTGCTCAGGGCTATGATGCAAGGTGAGAAGAAAGACTCAGAGACAGAATTGAAGAGAGACATACGGGGAGCCAGGATGGCCAATGCTGAGCAAGCAGCAAAACACTTCGGGCTAGCCAAAGCTGCTGATATTTATTGGTGACACAATCATAGTTAAGTTGAGATAAAGGACTCTGTGGAGTTGCTATG